GATGAGGACAAGACACTACTGTTGCTAAACTCTATTCCTAAGAGCTACGAGCATTTCAAGGATGTGATGCTCTATGAAAGGGTGCAGACTATTACTATAGAGGAGGTTCAATCTCTGATTAGATCCAAAGAACTTCAGAGGAAGCATGACAGGGACAAGGAAGTCAGCGGAGATAGTCTTATTGTCAGAGGAAGATCAGACAAGAAAGATTCAAGAAATGGTCAGTACAGATCAAGATTAAACAAGGATGGCCGGAATCAGTCATCAAGGGGATCTTTCAAGTGCTATCATTGTCACAAAGACGGTCATTTCAAGAGGAACTGCCCAGACAGGAAGAATAAGTATCAAGAAGAGTCAGAAGAACCAGGAGAAGCAAGCGTAGTCTCTGATGACTACGATTCTGCTGAGGCCCTAGTGATCACAGAATTTGAATCCAGTAAGGAGTGGATCCTCGACTCAGGGTGTTCTTTTCACATGTGTCCTCACAAAGACTGGTTCGAGACACTGCAACAGGAAAATGATGGGTTCGTTCTACTGGGAGACAATAAAGCTCACAGGATTGTTGCAAGTGGATCAATCATGATAAGAATGTTTGATACGTACCAGAGCTCAAAAGAAATTTGATTTCTTTAGGTACGCTGGAGTCAAGCGGATGCTCGTTCAAGGCAGAGAATGGTTGCATCAGAATAACCAAAGGCCCTCGTGTCGTCATACAAGGAGTCAGAAAAAAAGGGCTGTACTCTCTTATCGGAAGAACCATGATTGCTAAGTTCATGTACTGTTTGGACTTAGCAGACTCAAGCAAGGGCTGAGGGCTCCTCAGGGGCCAGGTGGAGGGAATCTTTACTTCGAAGCTTCTCAATTGAGGGTCAAGGTGGAGAATTGTTATTTTGACCCTCAATTAATGAACTAAGTTAAAAGGGCACTTTTGTAATGTGGTACCGCCACCTACCACATCTCACCTACCGCTCACCTACCGGCCACCTACCACCCACCTACCTCCCACCTACCACTCTCTTGCTTCTATAAATAGAGAGGGTATGAGGCTTAGGAGAGCAAGGGAAGAGATCTTAAGCTACCACGAAAGAGGAGAGAATAGCTAGAGAGCTAGAGAGGAGGAGAGTATCTTGAGACCTTGTATCAAGGTGTCGCTTGAGAGGGAGGTCATAGAAGGAAGATGAGGGCTCAACTCTATGTATAAGCTATGTATTCTTCATTTCTTTTGCCTTAGTGAAATATTTGATTGATTCCCTCCCGTGGACGTAGATCCAGTTGGATCGAACCACGTAAACGATCTGTGTTTGATTGTGTTCTTTGCGTTTCATTTCTATGCCAGGAAGTACATATCTCACAACAAGAAGTTATTTTAAAAATACTAAGCCGGCTCAAACTCGGGCTCATTGATAAGCTTGTAAGTGGAGTTTATTGTGGCTGTAGTAGTTTGAGCTAGATCTCAAATTCGAGCTCAAGTTGAATCTGGAATTTGACTTGACCCGCTTGATAGCTTGTAAAGCTGCTTGATTAATTAATAATCAATTGATTATAGTCAAATTTTGAAGATTGATAACGTAGTGATGTTTCATTTCAAAATATAGTCACATGGCTTCACGAGTTGTGAATCGTAGCTTATGCTAATACATGCTAAGTGATCTCATGTATTGCCCCAACACCACCACTCGCTCCTCCTTTCTTTACTCTAGTAAGTTTGTTACTATAAACGGCTAGAACACTTTTGCATCATGCTTACTTACATTTTAAATTGCTGTTTGTTGTTGTGTGTTTAATTAATTGCCTTCCCTCGTTGAATACTTTAAACACTGCTCCCCATCAATTTTTATATAACAAGACCACCTGAATGTCATCATTTGCGCACTTTTGGTTGTGCTTGCTTTCCTTAGTATCCTCCAACTCAGAAGAACAAATTCACACCCAAAGCGTCAGGTATAACAACCAACTTAAAGGATAAATCTGTTATGATTTTTCACAACAAAAGAACATTGTTTCTCGGCATGTGAAATTCTTAGAAAAGCAAATTCCTTATCAGGCCTCTTCCCCTACTCAAAATGAACCGCGACCTTTCGTATCAAATATCACACTGATGGGGAAATTGCTTGTTATAAAGCTCGTCTTGTTGCTCAAGGCTTTAAGTAATATCAGGGCATTGATTACCATGAAATCTTTAGTCTTGTTGCGAAGTTCTCCACAGTTAGTATGGCAATAACATAAGCCACTATGAAAAATTGAGAAATCCAACAAGTGGATGTTTCAAAATGCTTTTTGGCATGGGACTCTGATACTATTTATATGTATCAACCACCGGGTTTCACCAATTACTTAATACCCAAATTATGTATGTAAACTTCACAAAGCCATTTATGGCCTGAAGAAAGGTTTAAGACAGTGGTACTCCACTTTCATTAATTTTCTTCTCAACCAAAAGTTTACTTTGCATGACCGATTCCTCCATACTTCTTTATCAACAAGATCATACAAAAAATTTTCTTCTCATATATGTAGATGATATTCTGATAACTAGAAATAATACTGATGCAATAAATAAGTTAATAACTACACTTGACATTCAATTTAATTTAAAGCAGCTCGGCATT